TAATAATACGTAATCGGTCACCGATTCCGAGTCCCTGACCCACAGACAGACGCGCCGCTGCTATTACTGAGATATATCATCACTCCAATATTTAATATTTATCTTTAAAGTCATTGGGAAGGCGAAAGTGAAAAGTTGTGAACAAAATAATAATAACAGTAGAATTTGGCGTTTCGCGACAAAGAAAATTATATTTTAAATGACCCTGTACATCAGTTCCCTATCAGTAGTCCGAAATGACATTTTCCAGAAATAACGTTTGGTCGAAATTTCATAACCTCGAAAACAATTTTGAGAGGAAAATGTTTTTTCTTTTAAACCTAACAACCCAACCTAACCGAGCCTAATCGTGTCTTTGCAATAAACATTCAACATATCCTGAAAGAACCACTGTTTCGTTATAATTCGGTTTTCGGTGTAATGAAAATTCGAACAAACGTTATTTCGGACAAAAAAATTATCGAGTTTGTGAAACTCACAAAAGCTGCAATTTTGGACACAAGTCGAATTATCAGAAAGTTCATGCAGACAAAAGACGAAACAGGCTCTTATCGCGACACACCCTTAACACCGATTGACATCATACTGCGTTTAATGAAGTTAAAACCAGCAAACAGGCTGAGAAAAGAAAAACATAATAATAATGTGCTAGACATCCACCCAAATGACCTAATGTCAAACCAGCATCTTGATTTTGATTGCCTCTACCGATTGGAAACTGCGTCTTTACCGAGTGGAGGCGTACAATATTGCGGATAGGCTACCCGATCGAATTAATTCCGATTTTAATTAAAATCAAGGCCCAGACCAAGGAAACTAACTCCGAGGTATACACGCCACAATACACCGAAAACACACAGACCATACAAAACTTTATTTCCCAAATTGGTATTAATATGTTCTAACGAACCTGGGGCCTATTTATGTAGCATCTACTGTGCATCATTTCTAGATATCTATCGATACATATCTAAAATTTGGCTATTTTAATTAAAATCGTTGTTCAACTCGAGCGAATTTCAAATGAAACAAAAGAAAGACATAAAAAGACAATTAACCGCTCAACCGCATAATGTGATTCTATTTTAAAGAACGTAAAAAGACGAGACAGTTTCCGGGACGCATTGAAAGTCCCGAGACCCATTAAAGCGACTATCTCGATTGTAATAATGAGAGTATGCATGCACAAAGCACCAGTTGAACAGAGGTCCTTTTGATTGAAATGCGTCATAAAAGACCAGTGTTAGCTGTACTTCCTCGGTAATATAATAAAATGATAATAAAAGTCGTCACTAAGCACATTTTACACATTTAATGGGATATTATATCGTCACCAAGGATCGTCACTAAACCTTTCTGTAATAATTAAAAATGGAAAATAATGTCACAATTTTACAGTTGTGATTTTATCACATGAAAGTTTTAAAAATACTACGAACTACATAAAACTAATCAATGTGAAATTTCATAACTCTCCTGTTTAAGAATCGATACCACCTGAGCTCGAATCCCATTTTTCCCGTACTAATACGGTTTATTTTGCTTGGATCGAGTGGCAGAGTACTGGGTTTATTTCAGAATTATTTTTTTTTACAAAGCCATTTCAAAAATGTTGTATCGTATACTATAGGTACCGTGTTCTATTTAATTCAGTTGATATAAAAAATCATTCGCATATGTAAAGTATTTATTGAATATAGCGGTTTTCTTGTCAAATTTCGAGGTAAGTTCGTGTTTTTTTCTATCGTGAATTTTCAGTGTATATCCTAAATTTTACTATATATTTTTTCTAAAGTGATTGATTGAACACTTTCATTGTTATGCGGAATCAACCAAAGCTATTTGAGGTTGTATAGATCCTTAAGCATAAAAAAGATGTCGACTAATTTCAGTTCGTAGAATATTTAAACAACTCTCGTCGAAAGTTGTAATCTTGCAGATGTGGCCTGATTACACGAAAGGTGTGAAATTATTTACATAACAACATGGAACATTCGATTGTGAATTGAACACGTAAGTATTTTTTTTTTTGCGTACAAAAAGTAAATCGTGACTTTCACGCTAAACGGAACATACGTAGTACACTTTATAAAAAACCTAACTGTACAATGTAAGTTTGCACTTTTCTATGTCAGTATGGCTAAGAATATAAGAAATATTAAATGTGTCGCCCATATTAAGGCAAAATCAATAATCGTGTCCCAATTAAAGCTTGCAAAGGCGTTTATATTTGTAAACTGTTGATGTGCACCGATCGCACTTAAAATATACTTTACATTCTGCTCTCAAAATGGGGCTGTCCAGCCATTAGTGAAAATTAGGCCGGTCGAGCGACACGTTTGAAATTTTGTCCCGCCTCGGACATTAAGGCGAGAATTAGACCGCAATTGTGTAGGAAGAGGCAAGAGATCAGCGTTATTATTATGATATAATTTAAAATGTCATTGTGGGAAGCGCACTCATAAAGTTATAACGAAGGGACAAAGGGTGAAGGGTGCAGCACGTGTTGTGCCGCTATATTATCCGGTTTAATGTCGCCTGCCAGTTATTTTTACGGTCATGAGAATACATTGTAAGGTGAACATTAAGGTTCCACTGATAATAATTATTTAATTTTAATTTCAAATGTATTCAAGACTTATACTTACGCATGACTCGGTACGACTTACGTACTTCATCTGTCCTTGTTTGTTTTTTTTTTGTTAAATAAAATCATAACAAAAATAAATACATATTTAAAAAATATGGGGCACCTATAACAGTTACGTTAATAAAACCGGTATTATAAAATATACCGTATTTTAGATGTATAAATAACGTCTAATGGGAATATTTAAATCCGACCGCATTCCAATTTCAATTTTTTACAAAAAAGCCACTTGACAGTTGAAAAAACGCATAATCTCGCCTCGCAACCGACCCTTGTTAAAAAAAGAAGGATAATTGTGAACATCTGCACGGCCGCAGTAACTCATCTGACGTACGGCCGGCGCTATCAAACAAATGGGAATAAAATATCTATCATGGCAGACTTTAATTAGCCTCTACGCAACAGATGATGATAGCCTAGAGTTTGCACCTTGCGTCTAATTTTATTCGATTACGATACAGGTACACTAAATTACCGTGGAAAAGGATTATACCTGCTTACTTTAGCTATAAGTAGAGTTAGGACATTTGGGCCTTATGTAAACGAAATACAGTGCATAGTTTAATTAAGTACAAAAATGTTTTAATTACGTAGGTAATAATAATTCATTCCTAAGCAGATTCCCCTGAGAAGAATGGTTATGAAACTCTAAGAGATTGCTCTTCGTAAACAAGCATTTGTTCACATTTATACTTTTTTTACTATTTTTACTAAATGGAGCGCTGACCCAAGGAAACAAAAAATATTTAATAAATAATCTGTAGTACAACGTTTTATCAAGTTCTTAGTTTAGATATTACCATCTCAGTCAGCCGTGACCATGGGACCTGCAAAGAGCTCGAAACGTCGGTTTGTTTCAAGAAACGAATATACGAGTTTTAGATTCAAAGTTTCTGCTTTGTGTGATAAATAAATTCGGATTCTATGTATTTAAAGCTACACATATATAAGTATGTATAAAAGATGTGATGTAATGAATGGATGGTCGTTTCTGCTTTAACAAAAAACCCCAGGTAGTTCACGTGCGTGTCTATAGTACAAAAAAACAATTTTTGTTCATGTGCCTTAGTTTTTCTTCCGTGCACCTAACAGTGCAAATAGAGCAAATAACGCTCGTTGGTATAAACTCAAAATGGAAAAGGAAGCAGATTTTTTCAACCTGTTTGCATAAAACAGTAGCCTGACGAACGTTTTTTTATGACCTCTCGTAAAAAGCTGATCGAATGAAGTGCCATTATCGTAAATCTTACAAACTCGACTGAATATTGAATCGGCTTGCGAATTATTTGTACCAAATGTAAAATGAAAAATAAACTTATTTGATTAGCGCCTCTCGGCTTCTCGACAAGGAAAGTATATCATTGTTGGCTCCGTTCTTAATGTCTACCATATTCGTTGTGACAGCTGCCATATTTTACTGCTGTTGGCTATGGCACAACGCAGTTAACAAAAGTTTTTTTTTAACAATTCTCAACATCCTACAAGAAGAGCCTCCTACGCGCAATATTGTGTTCAAAGAGCGCCCATTGCGTGTACATTAGCTTAATCGTATTTATGTGTACTAATTAACACAGTACGTACTAGTACGTACATAGCTACATGTTATCCAGTACATTACACGGTTGTTTATATATGTAAGCTGAAGGATCTTAGGTATTAGCTCTGCTAAATATTGTAGAGATAGTGTTCAAAACAGCGAAGTTTAGATCTCGCTGAACGGTTTGCCCTGTGGACACTGGATGAGGAGACTCGACTCTCAGAAGGATTAATTCGGTACCTCCAATGAACAATACGCCGACTTTATTTTTGGACCTGTTCTGTTTTTCGTTTGTTTTTTTTTCTTTATTTTTTGCCACAAAATTCGTTGGTTATTTTTTCGATATTTTTCGTTTCATTTTTGAATTCCGTTGCTCTGGTATCTACTCATAGTACAGGGAATTCTTTTGTTTCAGAGTAAGTAATAGATGTGATTGTCTAAAATTTTTTTTTATATATATATTAAGATGACTAAATATCCTTGCGCCTGACGGCAGTTAGGTGTTGTGCGGCATTTGCAGCGCGACACTATAATTAATAGTTTTTTTAAATGCCTTGGACCAAACGCGCTGCTTCAGGTGCCGCGTGTCACGAGAGCGCTGTTTTATGTTATACGGTTTCGGTTCTCATAAAAATGAAGACATTTTCTTTCCATAATATTTCATGGCTTCTTATACTACATATTTACATTATTACTGAATAAATTACAGAACAAAGAATAAACAAAAATCTCCAATAATGTCTAAAAAAAAAGAAGATGACGAGTTCTTCTTTTTTTTTAGTGAAATCTGTGAATGAAGTCTGTCTGTCTTACCAGAAATGTTAGCGAAACAGAGAGTGAGGGTAGCAATCGCACAGCCGGAAGCGAGCGCAGTGGAGAGCAGCACAGCTGAGGCAGATGCGCCGACGCCGGCTCCACCTGCCGCGCCGCACACTATGAACACGTACAGGAATGAGGCCGCACATTCCGCGACCACTGCCTTCCACAATGACAAAGTCCGCACTTCCAGTCGCGCTGGGACTCTACCACCCAGTCCCGTATCATTTTCTTTAGCCGAATTTCGTAAACACTCCAACTTTTCAAACAAAGTAATAATATGCTGTTCTAAATTATCATCCGGGATGTTGAACGTCTGCTCACCCATATTTAAAAAATAGAATTTAAGAAATTCGAACGTGTGCGAAAAGCGCGCGAAGAATTCGAAAACGGGCAGCTGTTGCGATACCGCCTACACAACGCGATATCTGCTCCCGAGCGAGCCCGCTCGCGTGCCAACCATAGAATGGATGGGACAGGACTGAATGAACCGCGTTCCACGCTCGTATCATCTCGTACCCCACTTGTTACACCCCCGCTCCTGGGACCTGCACTTTCAGTAAGGGTGTAATAAAATCGCCAAGTGCATACTATACAATAGCTTTTAATTAGAACCCGTTCTGGTTTTTTTTATATATATTTAATATAATTTTCATTCAAATTAAACTTTTTGTCCCTGAAGCACATGTTTTGTCGCGCATGTGATAGATACGTGGTTGTTGATGTATTGTGAGCTGATTATCATTTAGTTGCATCTAATTTTCTTTTACTATAAATACCCTGTGATGTAATCTAGTGTAAACTAATATACTGATACATATAACTGGTTGAAGACTGTACCACCTCAGTCAACCGTGACCATGGGACCTGTAAAGGGCCCGAAACGTCGGTTTGTTTGAAAAAACAAATATACGCGATTTAAATCCGGAAAAATAGTTTCATTCCTATACTGATACATATTAGGTGCTCTAATAATTTTAATAGTAATGTGTTTGTAATCAGTAGCATTGTTTACTGTTTTATTATATTTAAAGCATTTAAATAACTATCGAGTAAATGGGTAGGTGTGTACTTAAGTACATACTAACGGCAGAATTTACCACATCTGTGTAAATAAATCTCATCGCAATTATAGTTTTAAGCTTAGAATAATAACGCATAGAAACCTAGTCCGCACACGCTAAATGAGGCAAATTGAAGCGCGCCCAATGGGCCTACACGAGCGCGCGGGCCTTCAGTGCTCAAGGTCAACTTGCACCGCGAACAGATCAAGAATTTTAGCTAAAAATGACGAAATGTGCGGTAAATGAGTGTAAAAATACGTCAGTCAAACATAAAATAGATACTAACATCACATTCCACAAGGAAGTAACGCGTTTCAACTTGTATTTTTATATAAATATTCACTAAAACGGAAAATTAACCTACTTCTAAAACTAGCCTATATGAATTTGATTTTTGCCTCACTTGTGACTGTTCGTTTGATATGAAACTATCATTCTATGCGTTATTATTCTAAGGTTTTAAGAAATTCATATCTTGCATGATAGCAATAAAACCTGTATGAAAACTGATGAGTGTTCCAAATGTACAAAAAAAGCGACAATTACAACAGTCGGTTTTCATCATTCAACTATAGGTATACTAGCCTGACTCTCCCCCATTACTTTTGAGGGCGGCATTATTTCAAATATTTCGGCATTATATAAAATTTACAACATAATTTTTCCAAAACTGGGCTTTCGAGTCCCACGCGTACAAATTAGAAAGATTGTAGTTTGTAGATGGTTCCAAGCTTTATAATATCTGGAACAAGTCTAAAAATTATTTTAAAAAACAAAAGCCCGACTGCAAAAATTTTGTTGGAAAGATAAGAAAAAATATTATATTAATAGTCCCCCCTTACTATTTTGATTATTTTTATAGCCTATGATACTCTCATAATTAAGACGAATCTAACGACACCTCATAAGTCAAAATCCATCACACACATTTTTTTAACACAACGCCATCTGTTAGCGATTTCTAGAAACTATACGTCCTCAGCAAGCTTGGGGTTACGCGATGGCTGAATTTAAATTTTTTTAAATATTTTTTATTTTTTTTTAAGTGCAAAAAAGAATAAAAATACGGTATTGAAAAGAATGCAAAATATTAAACAAATATTTAAGAAACCGTGTGGAAGCGGACGTTTGATAACGACGTTTTGTTATCAAATAACGAAAAACAACGGCGGCTACATTTTTTTTCCAGTGACAGATGTGTTCGTATTTCAGCGCCACCTATCAAAATTTTTTAGAAAGAATTTCGTAATGGTGGTGATTGAGTAAACCTCACGACTGATTTCATCTATTTTTATTTGTATTTTCTAGTTAGTTATAGTTAAAATCGTATTAATTAGTGCTGTGGCTGCGGCCATATCATGCTTTCATGTCGGGAATAGCCAAAACGCCAGTTTTGACCGAGGAGGGAGGAAATAATCAGTGTAAAAAACGTTCTTGTTCAGGCAGCGAACAGTGTAATAAAAGAGTAAAATCTGAAGAAATGAGTGCCAACGAGAAGAAATCTAACTTTTCGTTAGTGGCTCCGAATTCTAATGGGACTATAAAGATGAATTCTTCGTCGATGAATAAACCGGGAGCGACTACAAAGAAGCTTGTGATAAAGAATTTCAAAAGTGTGTTTATGCTTTCCTTTGAGTCGTCATAAGGTAACCTAAGTGACTTTTTGGAGGTGACAGTCATTGTTGGTTGCAGGTAAACCGAATTTGCCGGAAAACTACCAGGAAACGACATGGAGCAAGCTGCGAGAGGCTGTTATCGCCATACAAACATCGAAGGCCATCGCGTATTCTCTGGAAGAGCTTTACCAAGCCGTAGAAAACATGTGCAGCCACAAGGTAATCATCTAATCTATTTTTGTAGTATAAGCATGATTTTATGTAGTATATACAGTGGTAATTGTAAGCAAAGTTTATTGATCTTTAGCTATAATTACTGATTACTGAATGTTTTTATTTAGTTGACTTTTTGTCAAAGATAAAGTAGTTTTGTTTACATAATAAAAACAAGTTCCACAATAATCTAGAATAGGGTAAAGAACAGATGTTTGGTATGAAAAAAATATTAATAACTTTGTTACATTTCGATGTATAAATATAAAATTAGGAATGACTAACACTTAGCGAAAGGCGATATTTAATTTTTTGCATTGCCTTAACACATGTTTCAAAGAATCAACCAACAATAGCGACCTACACATACCTGTTAATTACGTAAATGACTAAGGGTCGTATTCTAAAACTCTACTCAATGCTCAAGTCAGGGTTTGAGTATGGTTTACAGCACTCGAAATCATACTCAAATCCCTGCCATTAGGGTCGTATTTCCAATGCAATCCTGACTTGAGCATTGAGTAGAGTTCTAGAATATGACCCTAAGTGGATTGATGACCTGGTCAAGTTTACTGACTATGTTTTGGGATCCAGAAGGTCCAATTACTATCAGGATATTAGTCCTGAACAATTTTTTCTTTTTTCTTATTTATTTAATATTTAAATGTACTTTGTCATTTTTATCAGAAACTTATTTCATTTTCAAGTTACGTACCTTATTATTCTGATAGTTACAGAATATATGGTGTCTCTGTTTTATTAGTACTTGTGTGTGAAGTAAGTACTCATACTACAGGGAATTCCCTGGTTTGAAATCTACAAAATCGAAGAGAGGTATAGAGATGTGGACAGAATAGTAACAGAGATCTTTGTAAATGTTATTTACAAAGAGCAACCCCTAGAGTTTCTTGCTCATTCTTCTCAGGGGAATCTGCCTTACGAATGAGCGGTAGAGTTTAACCATTGTGACGATTTCAAGTGTAATAATGCTTACCTATGAAATAAAGATTATTTTGAATTTGAATTTGAATTAGAGTTCTGGAACAAAAAGTGATGAATTTTTATTCTACTTTTGTCTAATCTCATTGAATGGATTTGTAGTATTGTGTTTATGTCTGTGCATTTGGAACATATCTTTGACTTTTTAAATTTTTTTTGCTAAATCTGCTTTGGCAGATGTTCAGGTTTGACAAATTACGAATGAGATTATTTTCAGTACAGAATACTGAAAAAACCAATCTCAAAAGTTCATGGAATTACATCTATTTGCCAAGGATTCATCCCCTAGTTTGCCACCCTTAGAGGTGGAATATTTTCTTCTTTCATAATTTAAATGGGACCGGTACTAAGGTACCATCTCTCCAACAAACATGAATCATCTAAGTCGGTCACCGTGTCATACATACAAAAGAAATACCATCGAATTGAGAACCTCCTCCTTTTTGTAGTCAGTTAAAAACTACCATTTGGCATTAAGAAAAACATATGTCACATGTAAATTAGGAGTATTTGTTCTGACACTCCTCAATGATATTGTTACTGTAAAAGAACTAGATGTGTCTGGAAATATCCACTGTTTAAAATATGGATATTTCATTTACCAGAAAAAGAATTAATAAATACAATCACTATTGATGAAATGTCAATAGAAGTGTAAACATCTTTTGTAAAAAATTCTTTTTTCTATTGTCTTTCATTAATTATCTTTTTCACCATTAATTGTATTGTTAATTTAATATTGACTTGATTAATATGATCAGAAAATGATTTATTTACCTCAAAACTGAACATTAAATGTAAACCAAACTATTTTTATAACTTTCATCAAAAAAGGGGAAAGCATGTCACGGGAAGTTGAACACAAGACAAAACGACAGACTAATCACATGCTAACTGGGTAGCAAGTACACTGAATAGACAAAGTTTTAACTCACAGAATGACTAGAATGTACTTCACATAGACATGCAATTGTGCAAAATAACTAAATCATTATCTAGGTTTAAGTCCTGTAATAACTGATATACATCTTATTTACTGCCTCCGTGGCCGAACGGTTACCTTGCCGGACTGCCACGCAGAGGTCCCAGGTTCGATTCCTGGGCCTGGCGAAATATTTGTATGACCTACATTTATTTCTCTCGTGAGTTTGGGTGTAATTTGTGGTTGTCTATGTGTGTGTCCATGGCACCCGCGACACAGGGTTTCCCTAGTGCGGGGTTATGTTGAGTGTGTGCGTTACTATATATATATATTTCTCACACAAATTGTTACAAGATCAAATAAAAATATTATTTGGACACAATTTTTTTGTGCATAATTGAGATACGTAACTTGAAAAATAAAGATTTAATTTGTTTTTTTATTAGTGTTTTTTTGTATGTGTGGTGTGTACTTTACCTAGTAGAATCAGCTAGGGATGACCTTCCATGTGAGTTTTTAGCATTTCTGATTTTGACTAATCATATGGTATGCTGTAACAGTCATTTTCGATGAAACACTTTGTGGTCTAGACATTTAAGGTTTAAGTAGGTAGTGTTTTTTAAGATGTAGAAATAATCTACCCAGTCATTTTGTGGTTTAGGTTTTAATTTTTGTGTGTAAATGTTACTTCATCAACCTATGATCAACCCAAAATGACGTACTGTAAAATCCAGGAGATGCGCAACAATGACTCGTGTGTTAGTTTACTATTCACCAAACCCATATGAAGCATGTATGGGCAGGCAAAAGTAATGTTATTTTTAAACAAAATGTTAGATATAATACAATTTAACTAATAACTGTTTATTGTTGGTTGGTTTGGTATTGTTACACCAGACATATAAATAGATAAATAGAAATAAAACTTGAAACCTTTGTTTCACAGATGGCATCTCAACTCTACGTGAACTTAACAAACCTAGTAGAAGCTCATGTGAAAGCCAATATAGAACAGTTCCTGTCCGAATCAATGGATCGTCAAGTGTTTCTTAAACGAATGGACGACTGCTGGCGAGCACACTGCCGGCAGATGATCATGATTCGGAGCATTTTTCTCTACCTCGACCGCACTTATGTTCTACAGAATCCTAGCATACATTCGATATGGTAATACTTCATGCTTAATTAATCGAGAAAATTGGATGTGGACCTGTTCTGTGTTGTAAACTTGTAGGAACTATTTTCTTTATTTAAGGTTTTAAAAGTTACTTATTATTCCTAACCTATTAATGGAGACACCAGTGTAACGGCTCGTGCAGCTTCTCGGCGATATCTTGCGACTGCACCCATTCGAAGTGACATCCAGGAACGAAACACAGTACAGTGTGCACGCGACTAGCGACAAGACACTACCGGTTACTGACCTATAGCGAGTTGTGAAGACTGATTGCTGCAAGTGTCACCACCACTGGTCGCCAGTCGCGGCAACGCTGCACTGAGCCATTTAGTTCTACACGTTTAAATAACGTCCCTGCGAAACGGCGTGATCGCAGTCGCGTGACATGGCTGGCATTCTGCACAAGCCTTAATACAGGATAAATGAGACCTAGGTTAAACAAATACAAGCTCTACAAAAAAAAACAACTTTATTGCAACTGGTTATTATAGTTGTGATAACAAACTACTTTAGTGGGAAAAAAAATTAAGCTTTCCATCAAAAAATGTGCCAATCAAGTGGACATATTGTGTCTTTCCTGGCTCACTCGTAATGGAATCAGCGAATTTTTTCAAGTTATCACATTTGTTGTTTAGCAAGTTGCTTCTTAAGTTGTAATTCATGTCAGTTTTGCTCTATGGATGAGTTATATTCATATACAGGGGACGTTTTAGTCACATCCAAATCTAGGCATTATGTCCTGACGAGGCGTCACGAAAATTACAAATGCACCTGGATAAGGTACATGCGTGGATGTCATCCTGGCGGATCAAGGCAAGTGCAGTAAAATCCAAACATGTCACCTTTACCTTGAGACAAGAAGATTGTCCTCCAGATAAGTTAGGCCTAGAAATTTTCCCACATAACACAGTAGTAAAGTACCTTGGGTTCGACATCGATCGGAGACTAACATGGAAGACCCACATCCAAAAGAAACATGATGAACTTATTTACAGAACCAGGTGCTTAGAGTGGCTACTGGGTACAAGGTCTAAAGTATCTCTAGAAAATAAACTTAACTATCTACAAGGCAGTTCTGAAACCAATTCGGACCTACGGTATTGAGCTTTGGGGAATTGCTAGTCAGTCAAACATTGAAATTCTGCAATGATATCAAAACAGTATTCTTAAGTCAATTACAAATGCTCCATGGTTCACTAAAATACATGAGATCCCCGCATATGTTAAAATGCCTACAATTATTGAGGAAATAACTAGGTTAACTAAGTCCTAAAAAGAAAGAATAACCACTCATATTAATAAACTTGCTAGCGCATTGTATGTACCACCACAGACGAGAAGATTGAAGCATAAACACATTTGGTATTCAATTAATTGAGTAATTTTCCATATAAAGGCAACCCAACGTTGGAAGGGTACGCCTGACATGCCAAAATATAAAATACCAATTGCATGTTGGCAAAAAGAAAAGAAAAAAAAAACATTTTTGGTATCAATTCTAAGAGTACAACACAAATGTTCGGCTATTCTAATCCCGCGAAAGAATGGCGTAAAAATTTACAAGTTAAATATGTTTGCATCAATAAAATCAGGTGCGAATACGGGCGGTGCACGGTGCGGTATACGAGGTGGCTAGCGCTTAGCTTAACAAACTTGGTTTTTTTTAATAACTTTGAGGTAGCATATCTCAGTATTTCAGTACTGAGTGATAATAAAAGATAAATACGTATTTTAGTTTTTCACCAATAGTGACTAAAAAGTCAATGAAGAATATTCGCTTTTGAAAGCTGAGTAACATCGTACATCTTTTTCTCTTTTTGTGCAATTAGGGTAGCCACTATTTGTGTGAAGAGACAATATTTTCAATCATATCACAGTTTTTAATTCAACTTGTTTTTAAACACGAATACAATATTATCTACTTTAAGCATAAGATCTATTTTTACACCTTATACAAATATCTCAATATTAGCGTACGGACTGAGGTATTATGATATGCACTTAGGTATTATGGTACGCATTGAGGTATTATGGTACGGATTGAGGTCCTATCATTAATTGCACTAGTGAGCGTAACTTTTACAAAAATTATTATTTTTTGCATCACCACATAGTACTACGAATCGAAATATATATACATATAACTTGTGTCCATCTAAATTGTACATGACATCTACTAACACGCACATTGGAAAGCACGGTGTAATTTTTTTTAATGTTTTTATAAAATTATGTCCAATTCATGTTTGCTTCAAATGTTTTAAAATAAAAAGTTAATCATGCTTTATTTATGTTATCACAATGTGCATTCTAATATGAATATTGAATGGTTTATAATAGTGACGTGTTCGTTTTCATGAAATAAGATAAATAGAGGGCAGTAAATATGAAGGTTACACTCACCATTTAAAAGATAATAAAGTGATAATAATTATTAAATAAATATTGTTGTCATTCACTTTAGTCCGTAAATACTCGAACATGCACTATCCCATCTTAATTTCTTTCAAAGCTCTAAATAAGGTATAGGCAAAGAAAGAATTTCAAACTTTTTTAAATAGTTGTTTTTGTTTGAAAATAAGCTGTCGAAAAGTTAAATGTTAAACTTCGACTTATTTTGAATTTTATTGTTAAACCTGTGGTATTTTGGTCCAAATTATTTTATAATTTTTTTTTTAATAAAGTGAGTACAATAAAAAACGTATCGCCACGTTTGAGAATGTTCTCGTCGCCAATAATGATTACCAATAAATATCTCTTTGCAGGTTTAATGGAAAAGAAGATAAAGATAAAGAGAAAGTTGAAATACAAATAAATAAATAAAATTATACTATTTCAGTATTCTAACATGCTATTTTTCAGGGACATGGGTCTAGACCTATTCCGGCATCACATAGCGATGAATACGCTAATCCAAACACGGACCGTTGATGGGTTGCTGCTTCTGATCGAACGGGAGCGCGGAGGTGATGCCGTTGATATATCGCTTTTGAAGAGTTTGCTGCGAATGCTCTCGGATTTGCAAATCTATCAGGAAGCTTTTGAACACAAGTGAGTAGGTTTTTTTTGCCTCAATCGTCATCATCAACCCGTCACATTGCTCTGCATAGTTGTCTAAGGAGAAAGATTTCTCAGTAATAAGATAAATTTATTGCAATGTAATTTAATCTAATACAATGTAAGTAAAACAAATGTAAATAAAACTATTATAGTATTCAAATAAGAATTAAACAGGGGAATCTAGATTATACATTCTTCATAGTAAAGCTATACATTTTAATATTAGTTTCTAATGTGTAATTGCGATGCCTAAACTAAGTAAATATATACCTGTATTTTAGGTATCCTTTGCAAATTTCTTTGTATTACAGCTTAAAAATAGATTTTCTATATTTAACAATAAAATAAATAGTAGTTATAAATTAATGGTTAGCTATATAAAACAACAAATTGTAATTATGAAAGAATTTCGAATGCAGGTAATAACAGAAGAGAGTTTGGGCTCTTCAAATGTTTCTAATTAATGTTTGTGAACACGTCAAGGTGCTTCACGATGTCTTCCTTTACCGTTAAAGCAGATGATGTACAACAGTACTCGACACGATGTCTACATCACCGTTTAGTAGCAGTAGAGCTCCTTGTGAAAGAGTTCGTCCAGGGAAGTACTGCCACCTTACCTATTTCTGCCGCCAAGCGTGCAATGTCAGCATTATTGCATTCCGGTTTTAAAGGGTAAGGGTGCTGATGAAATTACAGGGACTTTTCAACTTATGTCTCAGGGTGATGGGCGCACCTCAGTGGCAGTGCACCTCTGAGTTCTGAATGGCACTGCAAGTCTTATGGACAAGCGTGTCGTTTATCATAAGGCGCACGACTTGTTCAATCCTTCACTTAGTAACATAAAAAAAAAACACCGCTACTAGACTAGTGCAAGCCAGGTGGGAGGCAATAGGAGGTAAAGTATTCTCCCATCTTGGTTATTCACTGCTTTCAATTCTAAGATTATATGTATATGCCCCTAGGATTCTGACGGACGAATTACGCAACATTGTGTTAAAAGAGCGTTGCCGCGCGGAAGATGGTGTAGTGGCAAAGTTAGAGATTGCAACAAATGGAATGCTATTGTCTTTGCCTACCCCGATGGAAAAGGGGGTGAAGTATATGTATGCACCCTTAATGATATTGACATTTCTAGTTGATTTTAAAATTAGGCGTTAGGAGGCTGAACAGCAGTAAAGATCGTTTACTAAATTGAGTCAATTGAGCGAACCACCTCATCCAACTGCTGCTAATGATATATTTTATAAAATTTCACAGGTTCTTGCAAGCAACGGAGCGGCTGTACGCGGCCGAGGGTCAGCGGCTGATGCGAGAGCTGGCCGTGCCGCAGTACCTGGCTCATGTCGAGAAGAGGCTGCGTGAAGAGAACGAACGGCTGCTACACTACCTCGACCCATCCACCAAGTAAGTATGATTTTACCTCTTTATTTCTTTTATTTCATGGCTTTGAATTCAAGTCCTTCAGTCGAAATATTAGAAATAGTAAAAATAGAAAGTAATATGAAAAATATTAATGGCATAGTAATATAAGAAAATTAATTAAATATTTCCTGTAGTATTTACGATGAATGTAAGTACAGGAATGAATAAACACGATTCGACTCGAGAGCAATATATAGGGCGTCCCACAGCTTTGTGACACGGAGGTAAAATACTTTAATCTTAATGGTGACTTTTAAAAGTTATTTGCCTTGTCAGGGAATCGAACCGACCAAATGTGAAACTAAACTTGGTGCATTCAGGATCCACTGAAAATCAGCGTCACGGTCTAATCTCGGCTTAGGCATTCTTTTCTGGGCCCAAATGAACAGTTTTATTGTACTGGTTTTGGGACTACAGAATTTATTTTAGTTTACTCGTAAGCCATTTTTTGATAAAAATTCGATTGATGTTTGCCCGCCGTGGCGGCAACAATGCTATTCGCTAACACAGGTTAAATCCTTTTGTGGGGTCTGGATGTTGCCTGACTGGTCAGCAATCTATCAATAAGTAATAATTACTGTTTTATTTCCATAGTATTTGTAATGGCTATCAATAAAATGGTCATTATTTTCCATATGCCACAGCCGCACACGTGATAGTATATAAAATTTTTAAGTTTGTTTTGTTGTTTCCGAGACTTATCTTTTTATTTTGTTTTTTTTTTCTATTTTTTTTTAATTCTTTCTTTCTGCGTAGTTTTGTGTGTTGCAGTAAGTAAATGTTTTCTATTCTATTTTAATGATGACGATCGAAAGGGTCAACTGTAACAATTAATTCCTTTTAACTAACATAGCATCATAAATTAATAAGTAAATTTGTTGATACGTCCAATGACCACTACGCCAACTTTATTTTTTATTTATTTTCTATTATTTTTGTAAACACCCATATTTATTTATTAATATTTTGCTCTCCGAATTTTGTAGATAAAAAGGAAACAAACAAAATTTGAAAAAAAAAACTAATTTTGCATTGACTTACAATTATATGAACGTCGGGTCCGCGCTAAAAATTGTCCGAATTTATAGGGCGTTAAAATCGTATACAGAGCGTCATTCACGCTTTAGTCTTCGTTTGTGCGACTGACAGCGAAGCAAGCAAAATTAGACAGTACTGCGATGACATTACAATTTAAACTCAACGTTTTAGCTTTTTCATATTCCTTTACATGTCACTACGTTTAAATAGGTTGACTTGGGACATTTTTTTTGTGGTTTTTGTATTAGACCCGTCGTCCATTTATTTGTAAGTCAATGTAATTTTGTGAAATAAAAAAGAAACAAAAAACATATTCAAAACAGAACAGGTCCAAAAATTAAGTTGGCGTAGTGTTCATTGGAGGTATCGATGTGATAAGACCAGAAACGTCCTTTTCAGATGGCAATTAATCCATACGGTGGAACGCCAGCTCCTTAGCGAGCACCTAACAGGCATCCTGAGCAAAGGCCTGGAGGCGCTCATGGACGGGCCGCGGCTGGCAGACCTCACCACTCTCTACAGCCTCTTCAGCCGCGTCAAAGACGGCCTTAGCGAATTGTGTAACCATTTCAATGCTTATATTAAGGTTAGTACCTATTGCACAATCTTCATTTGACAAAAGAAACTTTAAAAAAAGGTCGGTATCATAAAGACTGTATCTTCAAAATTTTCTTATCGGCATAAGGACTCGATCGCAAAACAACCACCTCTGCAGAAAACTATAACTTGTAACTTGGTAGCAAAACAATGACTTAGTTATCAAAATGGTCACAAGTTAAAACGACGAAGTAGTAATATGACTAGATATTAACACAGTTTTAAACCGATTTCAAAAAGGAGGATGTTCTCAATTTGACTGATTTTTTTTTGTGTATGTTACGCGATTACTCCGCTATTTGTGACCCGATTTTGATGATTCTTTTTTTTCTGTTGGAAAGGGGGTACCTCCAAATTTGAAGAAATTATTCTACCTATGAGGGTGACAAATTTAGGGATTTAACCGGTTTATTGAATTTCACCCACTTTCTGTTAGCCGATTTCAATAAAACTTGGCAAACAGATGTAATTCCACAAACTTTTTATATCTTTTTTTAACTTTTTTTTAACTGCCTCCGTGGCCGAACGGTTACCATGCCGGACTGCCACGCAGAGGTCCTAGGTTCGATTCCCGGGCCGGGAGAAATATTTGTATGGCCTACATTTATTTCTCTCGTGAGTTTGGGTGTAATTTGTGTTTGTCTATGTATGTGTCCATGGCACCCGCGACACAGGGTTTCCCTAGTGCGGGGCTATGTTGAGTGTGTGCGTTATTATTATTATTATTATTATATAAAACAGTTGTCATTATTCAAAGTACAGGTTGGTCAAACATTTTGTTTAATCAAATGTTGTATTTTTAATTCTTTAGGCTATCATGTCCTTATAAAATTAAAATTGCCACATCCGCAAACGAATCTTATTAAACACGTAACATTACAGAAAAAAGGTCGCACGATAGTAATAGAGCCGGAGCGTGACAAGACAATGGTAGCGGAACTTCTGGATTTCAAAGAACAGCTGGACAACGTAGTGACCAGCTGCTTCCAGCGGAACGACAAGTTCCTCTACTCCATGCGAGAAGCCTTCGAGCATTTCATCAACCAACGCCAGAATAAACCTGCCGAGCTAATCGGTAAGGTCTTTTAACTCTTCTTTAACTGAATTAAACAAATGGGGTGTTCTCGGTTTCCTTCCTATGCAGGATCAGGTTAGGTCAGGGGTCGGCAACCTGCGGCTCGCGAGCTCCATTGACTCTTTCGATGTGAAGGTATGAATATAATAAAAAATAACGTAAGAAGCCAACTAACAAATGCAAATCTAGAATCGTGTTTGAAACTGTAAAACAACTAGTTATGAGCCAAAGGACAATGCCCATCGACATATGGACAAATGTACTGACTTTATTATTTTTGTGTCATGATGAAAATACCGTTAATTGATTATGTAGCCTTGTAGGATTACACGTGCCAACTTAGGTCAGTATTCATTTCGGGAGTTCAGAGATATTGAAGAAAATAAGTTTGGTTTTAGGTTATAGTTGAAGCACAGAAATATGGACTTTATACAACGTACTTAAGGTTTACATTAACTATTTGGTGTAACTGTTAAGGCGGAGGGCTCCATAATAATAACAATAGTTAATTATTAGAAGATAATACTACCAAAATGGCTTAAAACCAAGAAAATTCAATCGTCTGTCACCACTAAACGCAGTGTAGCTTAAGATGTTGTAATGTATGGAATAAAATGACAACAATGACATTTAGGTACACATTGACGTATCTTATTCCGTTGCCCTTTAGGCTGTTTTCGAACAAAATTATTTAGTGTGACGTGTCATTGACCGTACCTAAAGCGCTGTCTATATACGCCACTTTTGCTCCGTGATGTACGCGCAGCGTATCCATAACGTTTCCACACATTACTAACAGCGTTTGAAACTGCTCTACGCTGTGCCTATTATCTTTTACTTATTTATTTAACTATTTAAAGGACAAATAAAACACTTTATGTTTCCTTATTATTTAATCAAAAAATATATAGTCAAGACTTGGAGCTGATGCCCTTACATCATTATAACGGACCCAGCTCAAGTACCACAAAATACACATAACATGCGCACAACAACCGACTGTTCGCTTTCCAACGAGACATGAGCAGTAATAACCAGATATGGCGTCTAATGTGTCTCTGACATTTTCATCCTTATTTATCAACATGTACGTATAGTACATTTTGCTGGATACATGTCTTGACTTTATTCTCCCACGAACTAAATAATTGTTGGCTCCTAATATTAACGGCAAGTCTTCTTCAATTTCTTCTGACACTTCTATCTGATACGTGCCATTTGGCCTTATTGCCTTTGAATAGTCCTAGTAGCAGCCATCCAACATGCACGGCAAACTCTGATCAATCTATTTACCTGAAACAAAACAAGTATAAAATAAACATTTTCCTCAACCTTCACTTATCCCATATATATAGGTAGATAGATCTTTTTATAGTACCTGCAGGCATCAACTATCCTCAATGAAGTACATTCTTAAGTACTTCATACTTCCATTAAAATTATACTATTCTGTATACAGTAATCAATAATTACATAACATAAAATACATAAGCATGTTACATTAATCATAAATACTTTTTATAAGGTTAAGTAACAGTGATTTATAACATTTTTGCCATAAGTTGGCTCAAGCATAGTTAAAAGAATACTGAAATGAACAAGTCTGTATGTTTTTTTTTTAAATATACACTATAATACTAAAAAAATGAAAACATAAACTGCTGGATTTACATAACTTAAAAGCTTACCTGATGTGATGGTACCCATGATAATATATGATTTCTTTGTGGACTATCAAGTGGTACAGTATGAGTTCTGGATCTCAACATTGAAATTCCGCAACCGTAACAGACACTTGTATGCCCAACTGCGGGCATTACGGGTTCTTGGCTCTCACTTGCACTTAGTAACAAAGTGTAACAATTATCACACACTATGTCTTCATTTGAAAGCTGGAAAGAGAAAATAAATATTTTCAGTGTTAAAATATAGGTGAGACATGTATCAATACTTAATCCTATTTTTTCATCATTAGTTTTTTAATTTACGAGCAACAGAGATTATCACATTGACTTTTACACACATATAATGTGATTACGACTAGATATAACAAACAGAATTGTGTGTAAACACAGAAGTCATTGGTTTAATATCAAACGTTTTAGAAGAGCTACAAACGCTTGTTTGATTAAGTTCTATTAAAGTAAGATATAATTTTCATGCTTACCGGTGTCGGTGTAATCCAAGCTCGTAAAATGGCTAAGATATTATCGGGAATGTCCGGCAGAATGTGTCTGCGCATAAATGGCGCTAACATCAAAGAACAATTCAAACATTGTCTTCTAGCAGTAGCCATGTCAAAAATCACGAATATTAACGTCTTATTTAACACTAGATTCACACGAACGGCAGTGTTCTACTTTAGGATTAGTAGTTAGTAACAGAGGAACAAATACTCAACTCGATGCAACAAAACATACTAACAGTCCAACAATTTATATCAATGTCAGTTGAGTGACAGCTAAAGGGATGTACCTAATCTGTACATAATCGATTTCTATAAAAATTGTTTAAAGTTAATTAATAACATTTCCTTGTTTTTATGATTGATTATATAGATCGGGGCAAACTTCTTGAGTATTGGGAGGCGTAGTGGTGCGCATGTATACTTACGTAAAAAAATAAAGCGTATTGTTGAGTTACCCAAAATAACTCTCATATTTTTGTATTTTATTGCTGATTTTAAGTAAAAAAAAAAACAAAACGAGTGATAAACACTCACCCGTGAATGACAAATAATCATTTACTTGTATTTAATCATCATTATCATCATAAGTGTCGCTATCATGTCATAAAACACGTTAGTATGTCGTGGCGTAGTGTCACTTTCTACAAACCAATTGACAAAAACTCAACTAATAATTACAACAAAAAACAATAAATAACGAACTTTCTTATTCTGTGCGACATTCTTAGGGATTCAGTGTGATGATAACGCAGTACGGGAGGCAAGGGTCTACTAGTCTATCAATAAAGTGCTAGATACGATACCTCCCGTAGTTCGTGCGCCGCTCATACCTCCAAAGAGACCCAAAATGTATTCCTGCGCTTTCAAGATGTTTGCCCCGAATTATACGAATAGGTACCTCAATAATTTATTAACTCACAAACAATAAAGAAACTATTTTAGATAATACATAATCTATCGGTTTCAGACGCCTTCACTTTGTCGCAACACTAGCGTTAATGACAGAAATGATTTGAATTGTAAAACGGAAGTTACATTGCTTATTATTTATAAAATAATAACCCGGAAAGGAATCTTTTAGTAGAAAAGCTCAAACACATGAAATATTTTTGTTTAATTTTTGGTTTTCAAATGATTGAGACACAACACCTTTTTTAAGAGTACTGGCCGTGGGCATTGTCCTTTATTCAAACTTTCAAAAGGCATGCCAAACCGATGCTTAAATTGATTTACTACTTAATTCTGTAGTTATATTATTTAATTATTACTTTAATTTGTTGTGAAAAAAAATGATATGTATGATTAAATAGATATTGTTTTCAAGTTTTGTATTTTAAATCTAAATCAAATACCTTTATATAAGCAAGTACTTATAATATTGGCAAAACAAAAATTTTGTGGCCCTTTCAAAACTGTGAAATTTTGTAAATTGTAATTATTGGCTCTTCCAACTCAAAAAGGTTGTCGATTCCTGGGTTAGGTACATAAAAATAGTTTGTTACTAGGAAGGTTCTAGAATAGAATACATTAAGGTATCATATTTATGTAGACAATTATACCTAAGTGTATGTACATACCCAAGGGCACATACGTAGATGCAAGTTTAAGTGTAGATTAAAAATTGTTGCAATTTTCTCAGAAACTGAATTGTAACTTTCAGGTTTGTTTCAGGCTAAATTAACAAATTTAATGTTGTAATATGAAGTTTATTATGTTTTAATACCATGATATCCATTTTTTTTAAAACAACTCCACCAGTTTGTTATTTATTTATTTTTAGGAAGATTTACAGCGAATTTTTAACAAAAAAATAAGTGTTGAGTAACAGGTGAAACTGTTAATTACAAATCTCCACAAGTGACACAAAAAATAAGTTATTAAGTTTTTAGTCAGCAGAAACTAAAATGTTATTATTGAAATGTAAACAACATGATATTACTTTACACATTGAGAACAGATACAATTGCCAATGCAGGGAAAAAAAGGAAAAGAAAAAAGGGAAAATATTGAAACCTAAATAGCCCAACCAACAACACGCACATCTTAAAGACAGGAAATAAAATAATGAGAGATAGATAATTACGTAAAGTATTGCTTAGTAAATGCTCGAGGAATCAAGCCTACACCAGTACTGCCTCCGTGGCCGAACGGTTACCATGCCGGACTGCCACGCAGAGGTCCCAGGTTCGATTCCCGGGCCGAGAGAAATAGTTGTATGGCCTACAATTATATCTCTCGTGAGTTTGGGTGTAATTTGTAGTTGTCTATGTGTGTGTCCATGGCACCCGCGACACAGGGTTTCCCTAGTGCGGGGCTATGTTGAGTGTGTGCGTTATTATTATCTCAAAAGTACTGAACAGATCTATGTCAATAGACGATTGATTGTACTCCTTAATTGCTCTTATAAAAAATGAATTTGCCTATCTTCGCCCCGGACACACACAGCCCCGATTATGATTATTAATATTAAGAAAAATTCCTTTGATCCAGCTGGATTCGAACCAGCGCTTTCAGCACACCGTGCCTAACGAATGTTGCCATTTGTTTTCAGCAAAATTCGTCGATCTAAAACTACGAGCTGGCAACAAAGAGGCAACGGAAGAGGAACTAGAACGTCTACTAGATAAAATAATGGTGTTATTCCGCTTCATACACGGCAAGGACGTCTTCGAGGCGTTCTACAAGAAAGACTTGGCCAAACGATTGTTGGTCGGCAAGTCCGCGAGTGTAGACGCAGAGAAATCGATGCTCAGTAAACTAAAACAGGAGTGTGGAGGCGGCTTCACCTGCAAACTCGAAGGCATGTTCAAAGACATGGAATTGTCTAAGGATATCAATATTACTTATAAACAAGTGAGTTTTTAACCTTTTTATGATTTACCTCATAATGATTTCTCTTTTAATGATTTATCTTTTAATGATTTACCTTTTTAAAATTTATCTCTTATGACTTATAAACTAACTTTGTTTTAACGTTTATCCAAACTTCGACCTGATGTCAAAATTTTTTGTTTAAGTGTAATATCTTACGTCGTTTAAATAAAGTTGAAATTTGCAATTTATAAAAATAACATTTAGATAATGTTCTTACTAATACTCTGACGTCGTCCCCTTTGTCGCGACAGAAAGTAACTTACAATTTTAACGTAAAAAAGTTTAGTTCTTTTCAGAATTTCTGTAGTGATGTAATTAATTAATTTTCTTCTTAATTCCCACTAGTGTTAATAATGATGATGAGAAATCTGTAACTCGATTTTTTATAAACAGCACTTAGCAGCAACACAAGAAGGCGCAAGCCTGGAACTGTCTGTGTACATCCTGACAATGGGCTTTTGGCCTACGTACCCACCGGTCGAAGTTCGTCTGCCAGCAGAGCTCACGCGCCACCAGGAGCACTTCAGCAAGTTCTACTTGGCAAAGCACTCCGGCCGCAAGCTCCAGTGGCAGGCCACACTGGGCCACTGTGTTCTTAGGGCTCACTTCACACAGGTAATATGCTAGATAATATCACCAATTACCTGTACCTCTAACATTACAGTGTTGGTTTCGCTGGCGACCGCTCAGAATGTTTGTGTAACGAATTGTAGTGCCTCTCTAGCGGTCATGAAAAGAACTAAATTTTACCATATGAAACATTTAAGTAGCTGGGTAATAAAATCCTCCTAAACTTTCGAGGGAACAGTCTTCACTAATCACCGTCGGTCTATGCTAGGAGCAATGGTCGCGATGTTCCAAATGACTAGATAAATGTCTACATATAGACAAATAAATAATAAATAAATAACGCACACACTCAACATAGCCCCGCACTAGGGAAACCTTGTGTCGCGGGTGCCATGGACACACACATAGACAACCACAAATTACACCCAAACTCACGAGAGATATAATTGTAGGCCATACAACTATTTCTCTCGGCCCGGGAATCGAACCTGGGACCTCTGCGTGGCAGTCCGGCATGGTAACCGTTCGGCCACGGAGGCAGTTTATAGTAATAGATAGATACAAGGAGTGGCATGAAGTGGTTACCACCAAATATTAATTATTGATTTTTTTGAATCCGGATTTCGGGAAATACACTGCATGCAAGATAAAACTACTCACCTAGGAAGCTGAAGTTCGATTTAATTTTATTTAATTTTGATTTAATTCGCAGTTCTGAATTTGGGAATAAATTTTGTAGACTGTTTGGCAAGCTGTTTGTAAAAAATAACATTGATTTGTTTTCCAGGGTAACAAAGAATTACAGGTATCTCTATTTCAAGCACTGGTCCTATTGCTATTCAACGACGGGGATAATCTCTCTTTCGAGGACATAAAAAATGCTACTAATATTGAGGTACGTATATAATACTTTTTTTATATAACACTAATAGTACTAAAATATCCAGTGTCAAAACGTCCAAGGGTTTATCATTCAGGACGCTGATCGTTGCGGGACTGGACGTTAAAGGATACTAGACATTTTAGAACAATAGATATTTTTTATTTTATAGTATCAAGTGCCGGGGCTAACAAGTCGTGCACCTAATCAGGGCTCCGTCACTCGCTCAAGGTTACGCGATAAGTGCCTACTTTCGAATGCGCCGACGTCGCAGTCTGCGCAAGCGCTCATGCAAGTCTTTCATTTATGAGCATTCGGCTCCGCACGACTGCACACGGCGGGCAACGTTATTTTCACCTCTATGAGCGCGTGGCTAGGTTCCTTTTTCCTCTTAGTGGGTACCTGGTGTCATTAGTCAGATTTAGTAGGCTATTATAGCGTTAGGTATTTCCGATTTTGTTTGTGAGTGATGTATCTGTTACGTAGTAACTATTAAGTAACCTGTGACCTGGTGGTAAGCGACACGCCTATCCGTAACAGTTGCAGTGCCACTGAGCTTTAAATCGCAAAGATGTTAGGGGCACTGCCACTGCGCCCGTCACTCTGAGACATAAGTTGAGAAATCCATGTGCGTGTAATTCCACCCTTACCCTTCTAAACCGGGACGCAGTAATGCACTGCTTTACTGCTTGGCAGCAGAAATAGGTAAGGTGGTAGTACTTCTCTGGACAAACTCTTGCACGAGGAGCTATGCTACTACTAAAAACCTGAACCTCCTGTTGTGGCATGGAATAATAAAGGTTTTTTTGTTTTGATTCGCCAGGATGGCGAGCTGCGTCGAACACTGCAGTCGCTGGCTTGCGGCAAGGCTCGCGTCTTGACGAAGACACCGCGCGGCCGCGAGGTGGACGACTCTGACTCCTTCGCCTTCAACGCGGACTTCATTAACAAGCTCTTCCGCATCAAGATCAACCAGATCCAGATGAAGGAGACGGTCAGTACTGTAACTGGGGGGTAGCTTAGGATGCGTAGCGAGAGGTGCTTTTATGAATTTAAAGTGGAATAATCTTCAAAATATACTTTATTGTATTCTTTCACATAGTTTCGGCGTTGGATTACAATTTAATAATGTCAAGATGCTCCATTCTTTTCTCTTACTTCATTTTCAAAACATTCTAATTACAAAACTATTCATTCAGCCAGTGATTCTACTCATAGAGTAGAGCCTAGACTACAGTACTGTTAATACAATAATACTTGAATATATGAAGCAATTGGTCCTAATTTGAACATAACAATTTGCCCATTGCGTTCTATTTTACCGTTTTGTTTTTACAAAGCGTCCTAAACATTTTGTAAATCAAAAGTAAATAAACATTTTCATGACGTATTGTGACCTCTTTGTCTAAATTGAACTGCCTCCATGGCCGAACCATTACCATGCTGGTCTGTCACGTAGAAGTCCCAGGTTCGATTCCGGGCCGGGTGGAATATTTGTATGGCCAACATTTATTTCTCTAGTGAGTTTGGATGTAATTTGTGGCTGTCTATGCGTGTCCATGGCACCCTCAACACAGAGTTTCCCTAGTGCGGGGCTATTAAAAAAATCTACGAAATGTGACAAACTTGGTGGTCCAGCCCGATTAGCTAGCTTTTTTACTTGTATTCCTTTTCACTGGAGCCATAGAATTTATTACATCTAAACGGTAGACAAAGACAACCGACCCCTTCTACGTAAAGTATCGTATATCGAAATTGCCAAGTTTACAGGTGAGCGTTTTAAAGTTCTGTAAAAATAAAACTGAGAAATGCTAAAGTCACATGTTATGGTCATTTCAGTGAATTCAAAAATTTAAAACGCTTTTCTGTAAACTTGGCAATTTCGACATACGATACTTTACGTAGGAGGGGTCGACATAAACCTCTAGCTTCCTTTACCATGCGGTCGATACATTGTATAATTCCTTTATTAATTTAATGTTTCCAGAGCGAGGAGCAGAAGGCGACCGAAGAGCGCGTGTTCCAAGACCGACAGTACCAGATCGACGCGGCCATTGTCCGTGTAATGAAAATGCGCAAGGCGCTGTCCCACAACCTACTCATCTCTGAACTCTACAACCAGCTCAAATTCCCCGTCAAGGTAGTCGACAGCGTCCAAATATCGTATCCTTACTATAGTAAAGCCATATAATATGAACTACATAAAACAAATTGTAGCAGTAGAGCTCCTTGTGAAAGAATTCGTCCAGGGAAGTACTGCAACTATTATGGACAGGCGTGTAGCACCACCAGGCACACAACTTGTTCGTCCCGTCACTTGATACTATTAAAAAAAAATCAATCCAAACATATGTAGCAAGTCAATTTTGACACTTAAGATTTAAATTTAACTCTATACCACTTGCGACAAGAACGGGCTAGAACTGGTTTTATTAATTGTATTTGCTGAATTTGAAAAAAGAAATCTAATTGTAGAAATTTATGTTTGAGTTTACTCATATATTTTAATGCCTGCTTTCTTCTGTGTCTAAAAGAACATATATATATCTTTATAATTAAGGTTATTATACAGCTTTTGAGTACTTGGATCACAAAAATCCGTGGTAGTGACCCTTTAGCTCTTCCAGATGATCTCGATCTAAGATGTTTAAATTAAATATTGTAGTAATAAATGTATTCAATTGTATATTTACAAAGAGCAACCTCTGGAGTTTCTTTGCTCATTCTTCTCAGGGGAATCTGCCTTACGAATGAGCAAGTAGAGTTTAATCAGTATGACAATTTCAAGTGTAATTTAACGTATGAAATAATAATTATTTTAGTTTGACTATATATAGAAATATATTATTTGATCCTTTATTTCAGCCCGCTGACCTCAAGAAGCGTATAGAGTCCCTCATCGACCGCGACTACATGGAGCGCGACAAGGACAACCCGAACCAATACAACTACGTCGCGTAGTCACTTCCTTATCGATATTCAATACCACACCTGGTTACGTCACTTTGCTGGGTTTTTAGTGGGATTATTTTGAGAGAGACGAGAGATACCTGAGAGAAAGAGACGGCGATATTTCTTAATATAACATTTGGACTCCCAAGTCGGAGAAGGGATTGTTTTGACATTTTTTTTATTGCAATAATTATAACGATAAAGGATTACTTATCCCACGAATCTGACCCCTAACAGAAACCGAAACCCATTCCTGAATTTCACACATTAAAACATAGAGAAATGGATTGATTGAAGTGCAGATTCACTTTAAAGTTTCATGGTTAGTGCACTGGTGTTCCTTTATCTCAGTTTCAATCTCAGAAAAACTCTTATTAAAAACATCACCCTTTTAACAGCAAAGTCGCGCAAGCAGGCTAAATCCTAGCCAATACTTTACATTGTTTCTTTGTCCTAACATGTAATTCACTTTGTCAATTTTATATTGTTTCATTTCATAGCTAGAATGTGAAGTAGAGCTTATTTCAAACAAGTTTGCAAATCGTAAAACTATACAAATAATTTTTATCTATGGATATTAGATAATATGATAGTATCCAACTCAGATGGAGATAAAAATCAGCCGTTCCATGCAAAATCAATAATTAAACGAAATATATGGAACACAAGAGCCTTCATATTATTTG